TACAGAGGATAAAGCAGTTGTCACGAGGGGAAAAATATTATCCCACTTTCTGGAAAGGTTACTAGCTCTTGCACGACTTTTTCCCTTTATTTTTGTTAACAGGTAATTTTACATTTCTAAATTTTCTAATTTGTTACCAGCTAGTCTCTAAATTGTTATCTAAAGGTTACCTCTGCTTTATATTGCCTGTTAAGGTGCGTTAGTCAAAGAAAGCAGAGGGAAGTTTGCACTACTGTAATGTGAAAGAGCCTATGCAAGCTGCACATTTGCAAATTTTTTTTTTTAATGTCAGAACTTCAAGGGGAAGTATAGGGCGCTGAACTTTTTACCACATTTGAGATTTGCTAATCAATTGTGAAGTTTGTGGTTTCACTTTAAGACACTGTGGGTTTAGTGAAAAGAGCAGCACCTGTACTTAACCTTGTAGGTGTGCAGTTAGTAACCTAAGCACAAAAAAAACGAGTAAGCAAAAAGTTCCTTGTCTGAGGTTATTAGATGATTTCCATCTTGTCATTAACTCAGTCAAGCCAAAATGATAGTCTGTTGCAGCCCTCAATGATTTGTGCCAAATTGTATATTTCAACCCTTAGCAATTTCTGGAAGTCTATTTTATTTTAATCTTGCTTTTTTTTTTTTTGGTTTGTTTGGTTCGTTTTTTTAAATATACTCAGCACTCCACGCTAATACCCCTGGGTCCTCATTCTCCACGGTCACTTCAGGCAAATTAAAGTTGTTTTTGTTTTTTTTTTTTTTTAAATCAGCCCTAAATGCGTGGGGTTTTGAAGTTCTGTCAGCCGATCCTCATATAATGGGGACTGCCCGTGTAACTACAGCGGTATCTGCTGCCGCGCAGGTGGGACGGGAAGGCGAACGCCGTCGTCGTTCCCTGGCCACCGCCGTGCCCGGCGCGGGCTCCTGCGTGACCTTGGGGCAAGCATGGCCACCCGGTGCCCTTTTTACCCAAAAGCGTCCTGTGCCGACCAGAGCCCAGGAGGGCAGCGAGGCACCCCGCGGGGCAGGGCAGTCCGGTTCAGAGTACGCAGAAATGCTTGCGGCTGGCACGAGATCGCGGGGCTCCACGTGTTGTCACCGCTGCCAAGCGCCCCGGCCTGCCGGCCGTGCAAGTGTCCGCACCCAGCACAGCTGCTCTTGCAGGGAGCACAGGTTGAAACTGCTCTTTCAAACTGATCGGTCGCATGATTTCTCCTTCAGCACCTTCGTGACATTAATTAACTTCAAAATGAAAATAATGAGTGGGGGATCAAATAGGAAAAGAAATTGTAAGATGCGTATATATCTCAAGGTAAAATAATGGCTTTGAGTTTTGCTAATCTAAGCTTAAGTTTGGCTTAATCAACTTAAATCATTTTTATTTAACATGAAAGTCTGAACTTAAAATCGTCGCTCTTTTTGCCCGCCGTATTGATGTACAAATTTCTTAGCTGCTAACTCTATTCCTCTCTACAACTAGGGAGAATATATATATATATATATATGCTGCCACGCTCTCTTTGCCTTGTGGGAAAAAAAGTCATTCTCTAAATAGTGACCCGACTGCTGGGGTGTTTTGCCTATAGATCAGAATTCAGGCTGGCCACTTGTTTTCAAAGGTGCTATACAGTTTTGTTGAAAACAGGTCCTAGTCACTGAGAAACAGCGATTGTACTGGGTTATTTGGTGGCATCTGGGACTCACTAGCACGTTCTAGAGGCTTTAGTTTTGTTTCCTTAATTGATATCTTAAAGTCGGAAAGAAGCAAGGACCGTCATTCCTATTGATGCTTATGACAAAAGACTCGAGTACCATAAAGGCAGTGAAAAAAAATAGTATGGCAAGAGCCTGATTAGGATTTTGAGGGGCTTACCTATTGCTCCAGGCAGAAGTTGGTCAGCTTTAGTCTGCCCGGTCCGCTGGCAGACTGCACAGAACTTGCAGCCAGCAGAAACCTCTCTGTGTGTTCTGCAATGTGCTTTATGTGCCATCCTACTTCATTTTAGGGTCTCCATGTACTTTATAGATTTCAAATTTATGGTAGTGATTAAGAAACTCATATCTAATAATTGCTGATCTCTTGACCTGGTAATGATTAAAGCCTCAGAAATATGGAAGAGATGTAGTAGTATAAAATTTGTTTTATCACACAGAGATCGAACAACATTGCAATAGGATCTGCCACTGTTTCATAGCAGAAAATATATGGAAGGAACTTAATGTAGTTGTTTTTGAGATAGAGAAAATTAGGGGGGTTTTGTGTCTCGTAAAAGTTTGCTGCTGCTAGATATTTCTAGACAAGATTTTGGAAAATCAGTTTTCTAAAGTACCAATATGTAGGTGTCCATGAATGTTACATAAAAATAAAGCTAAGCACTTCAAATAATAATGTTTAATATCATTAAGTGATTTGTTACATGAAGCAGTACTCAAATATTCCTCCAGACCTATCTCTATATAAGAAATAGGAATTTCATTACCAGTAAAAGATAGCTTTCCAAAGATAAATTACTACCCATCACTTTAAACAGTGTTGGATGTAGCTGACTCTAGGAGGTTTGCATCTTGAAATATAAGAAAACAAAATAAAGGATGAACTTAGACCGTTAAAATATCCCTAGACATGTTCATGAGCCCCTCCCACAAGACAAGAAGTTGCACATCATCTCTTCACTGAGTTACTTCTCGGTAGCGACCGGTGATGTGCAACCTCCTGTCTTGCAGAGGGTAGGAGAAAGGAAGCAACCTCAAGCAGCCTCGCGTGTGCCTCTGGGCAGGAGCTTGAACACTAGTCAGGGGAGGACAACTTGCAAGGACAAAGGTGCTCCTGTGTGGGGCAGAGGCTCCTGCATCCTGTACCGGGGATCCCTCTGCTCCAGCTGGGCTGCCGTGCTGCATGAGGTGATGGAGAGCGGCACTGATGGCAGGCTGTGGCTGGAGCCAGGGACGATGAGGGGTATGATGAAGTGAGGTCTCCACAGTGTGGAATTGGGGTGGCAGGTGCCGTAAGCATGGCAGTGGGACGGGCTGCAGAAGCACCAGGTCAGAAGTGAGGGCTTGACCGGCTTGTGCTGTTCAGGAATGGGATAGCGAAACTTCCTTTCTAAGAACTACTCAATGTCCCAACTCTAAAGCTTGCTTGGGTCCATGCACAGTGGCGGTGTGCATGCTGGCCAGTGCTCACTGGCAGGGAAACGGTGTCAATACCTTGTAGCTGTTTTGTGTAGACAACTGGATATATGCTCAACATCCAATTTGATTCATGGTGGTTCTTGATAACATAGACATGGCTAAACAAGGCTTATTTTCCACTTATTAACACCATTTTACCAAGGAGAGGCATATTTAGCTTGTCTTTCACATCTATTTCCTATAAACACAAGTTTGCACAGAAAGGTTTGTTATTCACAAGTCAGACCCATTTGTTTTTGTGCAGCAACAACTCTGTGAATCACCCCATCGCAGTGCGGAGCGTGGAATTGTTCCCACCCATTTCCAGAGACAGCTCAGGTGATTTATGATGAAGGGCCTTGACAAGTTGTTCTTTTAATCCCTGGATTGGCTTTCATCCCAAATGCAGATGTAGTTTACTGACATATCTTGTTGTGGAATACTTTAATAGGGTGTATGTCGGCCACGCTGTTCTTATCTGCATCCAACAAGCCTTTTATTAAAAATATTCCCAGGGCTCATCTTCCCCACAACATTAACCTGTGTGTTGGCTCTAGCTATTGCCCTGTCTAAACACAGCTTGCACCGAAGTGCGAAGGAGCGTGCAACCTCCGTTTTGTAGCCAAAAAGGCTACATTAACTGAAGTGTGAGCTACTTCGGCTGCCAACCTGAGCTCCCTGCACTTAGTCGCCCTTTCCCACAGGAGCCAAGCATGGGAGCAGGGCTTGCCACATGTGGGAATCATACGGTTTTTCCAGAAGCCTGTGCTTCAGTGTCTTTTTGTACTCGGTGGCTTACCTGGGTGGCTCCTGTGGATCTTCTCCCTCTGTTGAAGCTAGGCAGCTGATAACCTCCGAGGCCTGCTCGCCCATCATCTTGGACTGGCCTCTGCAGGTTTGCCTTGCGTGATACTTGACAGGCTCAGGCAGACGAGATGTGGGGCCATCCTTTCAAAAGCAGAGCTCTGTTTACACACATGGTCTAAGCGTTGTGACATAGGTGTTATATGAAAATGCAAATGACAGAACTGATGTACATCTTCCAGTATGCAGATGTGTTTTGTAAGAAATAAGGAGGAGCCCAAATGAATCCTTGCAGTGGTGGAGCATGCTTTTTAACTGGCAGGTTTGGGGAGGTGAGCACACTCAACTTGAGATATCCTTTAAAAGCAGATGTTCCTTGCTGTGACATCTGGCCTGCACCCAGAGCTGAACTTGGGTTTGTGTACCAATACTCATTAGAAATAGTTGCAAGGAGGTGTGGGAAGAATGTGAAAACATGCTGTGCATTTGGAGGTCATTGCTGGTGAGGGACATTACTGTAGTCTGGCACTACTTGGGGCTCTGCTGTTCGGTTCTGTCTTAAACGTCTGCTGGTGAACTGTAAACCCTACCAAATAAAACTTATTCCTTTTGTCAGCCAGAAAAGATTGTGCTTGGGATATGTTCCAGCAAAAGAGATGATATTTTACTTTTTGATGCAGACACTTTGTTTCTTAGTCAGAGTTTAAACATAATAAATATTTAACTTCTGAGCTTTCTTGCTCTGATTATCTCTGTGTAATATTTTACTTAATTTTCAGTTAGGCAGATGGAACATTATTGTTGGTTTATATATTTCTGCAATATAGCTTTATACATTGCAGCTCCTGTTCTCAAGTAGATTTTAGAAATAAAACATGCAAACTTTATCTTTTTTTGTGTAATGCCTTTGACTCTCAAAAAGATAGTTACACAGAGGAACGGTGATTTGGGATAATATTTTACAAGAGGAAAAGTGAACGTGTTGGCTTGTTTGTATTGCGTTAGCAGAAACAGCCAGCAGAACATCCTTTTTATGTTTGTGGTTTTATTTAAATAACTCTCAAATTTGAAAAGCTTTACATTGATTGTTTGGATGAAGCCAGTAGTAAACTTGCTAGTAAACTTGCGCACCTGTACAGCTTGGAGGAGGAAGCAGAGGGAAATGCAGCCCGTGAACGAAAGTTCAGAGAAAGAAGGACTGGAGGCAAATGAACCAGCTTTAACAGAATTTAATCCACTGTTGCTTTACGCTGGCTTTTCCAGTCCCACGTCATTACACAGGAACCCTGTCATTGGAGGAAATAATATTTTCGTTAGCCTGACATAAGCAAGCTGAATCAGTCATAGCCAAGTTGTCATCTTTTTAGTGGACAGGTTACTATTTCCATAGGACTCCTCTATCTCCTTCATATCTTCTGGGGTTCAAACTGACACCCCAGTGCTGTGGGAAGGGCAGTTCCTATGTGCTGAGTGTGAACTAACCAGGGACTTTTTCAGTTCATACAGCTGCTGGTTATCAGAAGATCCCAAATCATAAGCTACATATTTATCTTCAAGGGGGTAGGGAGCAGGAGCAGTAGAAATACTTGATAAACTGAGACAGTGACAGAAAGTGGAAAAAATAGTAGGCATAGCTGAAAAATCCCTCCTGTATTTTAAAAAAACCACAAAATCCTCAAAACCCAACAAAGTCAAGTTTAAAAACATGTACTTGCTGTTTAATTTGGCTTTCTAGTTTTCTTTCTATTTTTTTTCTGAAAAATACCTTTATATATATTTGTGTATGTATGTGTATATATGTCTCTTTTCTGGTATGCAGTAGAACTTTTGCAAATTTTTTCTTTCCTGTGCTTTTATACAGAGGATTTTGTAAACATTTTATTTTCCTGGTTGGGTATCTCAATGTTCAGAAGACCTGCATTTCATGGAACTCAATATACTCATTACTTCCTTACTTCTGTCTTTCTAAGTTGAAGAACTGTATAAGGTAACATAATGAGTGTGACCAAAGCATGGTTTAGTCTGGCTCTGCGCAGACCTTTATCCTAAGCCCTGTCAGTGCAGCTCACTGATGACATCAGTATGTCTGAGTTTGTGCTCATCTGTGTGTGAGGAAGACAGATGACTGTGGTCTTCAAGAATCCCCCCAGATATATTTTTCTCTCTGAGCTAGCACACAGTTTCTTACTTCTGGGAGGCTCTTACCTTTGGGATATTTGCTGTTGTGCCCAATATGATGTGTTGTTTCTTAGACGAAAATGCACCCATAATAATGACATAGACCTGAAAAAAAAAGGCATAGAAATAACCAGATTCAGCTGTCCTCAACAAACCAGTTCATCTGCTGTAAGTCAGCAATATCTTATTCTAATCTCTTCTTCACACAGTACCTTTTTTGTCCCAGCTCTAGCTGTCATATAACCTCAAATAAACTTAAGTCCCTATGTTCACCACTGTCTTTTGATGTGTGGCAGGAATACCCCATGTGACATGCAACCAGACACATGCCATATATTTCTGTGAGAGCGGAGAGCACCGGTGTTGCTGCCAGGGCCCTGGGGACACTTGTAGACCTTAATAGACCTGAGCAGCTACTCCTGGGACCTCCACCCACACCCCTGCCAAGTGGTCCAGGGGCTCCACTTAAGCTCAGGCATGGGCCATGCCATTCCCAGTCCTGTCCCTTGCTCTGCCAGCATTCTGATTTGTTTTTTTCTGGATGGAGCCTGGAGGGACACTGCAGGTAGCTTGTCTCCAGCCCTGTCTCCTGGATGAGCCCTAGACATGTGTCCCAGCCTTGTCTTCAGTCCTGGCACTGGCTCCTACTGCTCCCCACTGGGTGTCTGCGTGGACCCCAGCCCTGACTCATTATCTCAATTTGGTGAGGGCTCTGAGCAGAACCAGTCGGTGTCACCTACACGGGTGCCCCGGTACCACATCTCTGGGGACAGCATTGCCTCTGCTGGAGTCGCCTTCAGCTCCTTGCTTGCTCCCTGCTTTGGAGTGACCCCACTCCCCCTTCCTGCTCCCTGGCATTTCCTATCAGGACTTAGATTCCCTTTCTCAAGTGTGTGAAACAGTTAGGAATGAAAACCAAAAATTATTCCATTTCCCACTATGAAGAGGGTTGACAAGACATAAGTAACTATGCCTGTTCCATGGACCCAGTAGCTCATGTTTTTTAATTGCAGTATATGCTAGACACTTTGAAGTGCTTATTTACATAACATTTCTTTGTTTTTCTTCTCTTGAGATTCCACACAAGTGTTAGCAGATGCAGATACAGTATGGTAGAAGGCTAGGCAGTCTGTTTAGTATAAAAATGATACAGTTCGTATGGCTCTCACATGGTACACTTGGGATAACCTGATTCAGTAAAGTGATGTGCATGCCCTGTAAATCAAAATAAAAAGAACACAACTAAGTATTATTTTTTTCTGGCAGATGCTTAATTTACATTGTCAATGATAGCCAATACATGTATATAAGAACAGCACTTTGATATCAGTATTATTGGGAAAAGCAAATGCTGGTGCTAAAAATTCTATAATATCCATCCATTGCTGAAATGGAAATCCTCTGTTTTGGATGTCTATTTACAGGGTAATTGTCCTGTTTGCATAATGGCCCTGGAGGGAAGAGGGGTCTGAGAAAGCTGGTTGATTTTTCAAGGATCACCACCTCCAAGCTCAACAGTGGCCCATCCCCATGGACAAGTAGTCAAGCAGAGACGATCCTGCTGTTCTACTCAGCACCGGTGAGGCCACATCTGGAGTGCTGTGTCTAGTCTGGGCTCCCCAGTACAAAAGGGACATGGACATACTGGAGAGAGTCCAGTGAAGGGCCATGAAGATGGTAAAGGGACTGGAGGTTCTGTCGTATGAGGTGAGGCTGAGCAAGCTGGGATTGTTCAGCCTCAAGAAGACAAAGGTTGGGGCTAGGGGTGATCTCGTTGGTGTATATAAATGCCTATTTTGGGAGCAAAGAAGATAGGGGCAGACCCTTCTCAACAATGGCCAGTGAAAGGACAAGAGGCAATAGGCACAGACTGGAATACAGGGAATTCCCTTCAAACAAGAAAGGCGGAATGTCTTTTTGGACCTCTTTATTTACTTATTTGGTTTATCTGATGTACTTAATGAGAGTGGATTTCCCTAGTGAAATGGGGTTAGAGCCCGTATGCCCTGTACACAGATAAAAAGAGTTGGTGACATCTCAAATATAACTAAAACGTGTATGTAGTTCCTAAAAGGCCCTAGCCCTTGCTGATCCACAGGAGCCCCAGGTTCCCTAGCTCCCCTGTGTAAGACAGGCCAATATTGTCATTGTAGATTTTGTTTATGTACAGCTCCTACTTCTCTGTTGCCTACGTATGTTTTTCCACATAAATTTGGTTGAGACTGGGTCCCTCTCTTTTCTGATTAGCTGGAAAAAAGCCAGTTTCAGAGTAATGTAGTCCCTGGTTGTATAGTCTGATGAGTGTCGAGTAGGAGTAGAGAGGTGATACTGAGCATTAGTGAGATGCATATTTAAATACTGTGTAGCTGGGACTTTTGCAATTTCATGCTGATGACAGGATTAATGAAAAAGTATGTATGAGAGAGAGAGAGAGACCTTTTAGAAACCACCTTTCCAATGAGAGACAAGAAAAAATCAGTCCACTGAGGTTTCTCTGAGAGGGCTAAAAGTTGTGGTTTATGGCCTTTAGAAACACAGATGTGCGGAAAGATGTGATAATGAAGGATTAATTAGCATAGTAGATAAAATCGTAATGAGTTTTGGTGTTTGGCAGATGGAACCTAGATGCATTTGTGACAAAACATGAAGTCACCAGTGCCTGAGATGGTGTGTTTCTATATGACCTGGTTCCTTTATCCAAAACCCCGGACATAATGCAAAAATCACTTGTCAGAGTCTGGCTGTGTCTACATGACCATGAAGTGTGGTGCAGCAGCAACAAACCAGCAGAGCCCAACCACGGCAGAGCAGCTGATGCCCATGCTGCCTGTGCTTTGGCGCTTTACTCGCATGAGCTTTAGTGGTGCAGTGGACACCGTGCCCATTAGCAGCTGTGGTCAGCCAGATGCACTCCTGGATTATGTGCTTCCACTTCCTTTCCTGAGAAAGGAATTTATTTTGCTTTTCTGAGCCCCTCCACAGCGTGAACCCAAGTGCAGTTAAATTGGGACTATCAGCAGCTTCAGAAATGCCCTCCTCCTTTGTGCTAAAATGTGGATATAGGCTCATTTCTTTGTCAAAATTCCTGTTTTGCAGGAAGTCTTATGCTTGGTATACTCTAGTATAAACTGAAGCATCAGGAAACAGTGGTTGCCTTGATGTAAAATAAAAGTACCTCCAATAATTTATAAAATATTTTATATATAGATATATGAATGTGTATAGTCTTAACTCACATAGACACTTAAAATAACCCAAATATTACCCACAAAACACAGGAAAACTATGGCAATGCGGCGCATGCAGTATGGTGGGGCTTTGAGATGCGGGTTTATGATTTACAGGTCGAATGGGCTGATGAAGCTTACGGCCAAACCAAACCCAGCCAAGGTAACTGCCAGAGGTCGCCGCCACGGCCTCGGCCGCCTCTGCTTCACCCAGCTGCACCTCAAACCCGCAGCCCCCCTCACCAACAAAGTTCAGCAGCGCTGAACAGGTGACTCCCCGGATTGCAGCAAGGTCATCGTCCTCTTCCAGTGCTTTCCCACTGAGGCGCACACGTCCTTCTGGCCTGCTTATGCCGGATGCGGATGCCTTTTGCAAAGCCCTAGGAACAACCTGCCTTGCAAGCTGCCGCCTCAGGTTTGTAAGGTGCGAAGCCCCGCAGTGCCAACACTCGCCTCCCCGCCCTGTATGCTTCCTCTGGAACGTTTGCCGGCGCGTACGGTGTTTCCACCGCCCTCACCGGGCTTTGGTATATGAATTACTGCGGCACCCCCAGCCCCAGGCACCCGGGCGGTGCCCCGGGCGGCCGGGCCGGGCCGGGCCGCGGCCCCGGGGGGTGAGGCGAGGCGGCCGCGGCCCCACTGCCCGCCGGGCGGCGCGGGTGGGAGGGCGGGCGGGCGGTTCGAGGAGCAGGAGGGGACGGAGGAGGAGCAGGAGGAGGAGGAGGAGGCGGGCTCGGCACACGCACACGCCGCTCCCGCCGAGCTCGGCTTAAATAGGGCGGCGCCGGGGGAAGCCGCGCACAGCCGTGGTCGTTGTTGGCCGCCGCCGCCGCCGGGAGGTGAGCGGGGCTTGGGGGCGCCGCTGCCGCCCGGGGGTGAGGCCGCGGGCCCGGCCGCGCTGAGGGGCGGGCGGCGGGGCCGGGGGCTGTCAGGGGCGAGCCGGCCGCCCCCTGCCCTGCCCGGCCGCGGCTGAGGCGGGCTGGCTCCGCCGGGGCCTGCCGGAGCCGCTGCCGCCCGGCCCGGCCCTTCGCCACGGGGCTGGGGCGGCCTGCGCGGCCGCTGTCACCTGCGGGGCCGGGCGCTCGGCGCTGAGGGGCGGCGGGTGCCGGCGCCACCGATCCCCTGGGGCTGCCTCGCTGGGGCTGCGGGGCTTTCTGGCGGGATCAGCGGTCCCGGGAGCCGGCTTGGCTTCCCGTCGCACAAAAGCCTCTTCAGGAAAACGTAGCCGGCTGTCTCCGGCCTCCCCCCACCCCCCCCCCCCCACCGCTCAGCGCTGCGGCAGCTCCGGCTGACAGGGCATTGTTCCTGCCCCAGCGCTGCCCTCTCCCCCCGGCTCGCCTCGGCCCGGCCCGGGGTAAACAACCGGGGCCGCGGGGGGGTCGCCCCGGCCGGCCCTCGCTCCCGGAGAAGCCAGCCCCCGCGCTGCCCGGCCGGGCAGCAGGTAGCAGGCTGGGGAGCGCAGAGCCGAGCGCTAACCTGAGCGGTGTCACGTTGAGCGGCTGGACCTTGTCTTCAGGCAGGTTGTTCTTACGGGCACAGGCGCGGCGTGTACTCGGAGCAGGTTTTTCTACCTTCTGAAGCAGCTGAGAGCGCGTATGGAAATGTCGTGTGAGGCAAACTGGCCTAAAATGGAAGGTTTGAGTGGCTTTGACTTTGCAGGCCTCCTCTGCTGTTAGATGGGACTTGCGGTGCTACAGCTCAGGGATTTAGCCTGGTTACACGGTGCTTTTGTTCTAGTATGCATACATTTCTCGTTCCTGTTGAACAGGAATTGCAACACTTGAAGCCTTCTGAATTTCTAAAGGACATGTCTGTGAGCTGTCTGGGGTATTATAGACACCCTCTTGGACCTAGTAATCTGTCTAAACGTATGCCTCACTTGGGTTTAGAGTCTGAGGTACAATGGTCAGGTCCTGTGATAGGAAAGAGTGACATCTAAAGAAACTGTTGTTGAAGCCCCATGGTTCTGTACCTGGACCACAGAGCTATTCTGTGTGATGTTGACAGTTTTTTTTTTTTTTTTTCATCAGTGTTGCTTTACAGTGAACCATGCACTCCCCTGAGCCTGCTCAGGAGTGTTTGTGTCTCTGTTTTGGAATGTGCTCCCAAACTCGCAAGCTGAGGTTTCTCAGCTCAAGAGGCTTAGATCAGATTTTTTTGGAACAAGAAGTTCTGAGTGTAAGAAGGCATTGAGTTTACTGAAAAATATCCTTCTTTTTCTCTTGCAACAATAGCAGTATTAATAATGCAAAAACTGAAGTACAAGGTTCCTCATGGAACCATACCGTTCCTGCCTGATTCTTTAAAGTGGAGGGATACCTAGCTTACTTGTATTGGCGTATGAAAATGTCTGAGGATGGCTGATGGGGAAAATCTAGAGCTTGTAATTACAGGTAGCTGTTGTGTGTAGTGTACTCTGTTCAAGGTCTCGAGCAAATGGCCTTCGCCTATTCTGAGGGCTGTGTAAGTATTATGAATTTGAAAATCAGCTTCTAAACTTGATGGATGCTGTTTTACAACTACAAATAGGCCAATGTGAGGTTGGAAATAAGTCTTCAATTCTTGAGAAGCAATCCTCCAAGTAGCCTTTTGCTTCAAGGGCAAGTAAAAAGTTGGTATCAGTGGAAGACCAAAACCAGTAATTCAAAATGGAAGGGAAGACAAGTTTGAAAGGGTTATCTGGGTAAGTAACTCCTGTTTCTTGAGTAGAGTCTCTGTAGCTGATTCTCCTACCTCATTGCTCCACTAGAAATGAATACTGCATGGGATTTTTTGGAGGAGATAGAGGTGCATTATACCTTCTCTGTCCTGGGTGTGTTGATCTCCAGTGGGGAAGAGTAAGCAATTTCTTCTCTCTTTCCCCTTCAAAAAAACAGCGCTTTGACTAATGTGAGCAATAGAAGATAGTGCTAGGTTTTTGTTTTGTTTTTCTAAATTTCAGTAATGCAGGTGATTGAGAGGGGTAGACTCAAAAAGGCTAATTGAACAAAATTTTTCCAGTGTGCAGCAGAGAAGGAGAGAGAGATTCTGGCCCACAGGGATACGTTGCTTGATAAATTGGGCTTCTAGTAGTCTGAATAGACTGCCTGCCATATCCTACTTCCCTGCTGTGCTTAAATTACAAGTTCAGATATGTTAGATATTTTAATATTTCAAATGTAACCAGTGGTAACCCCCCAGAAATCCTCACAAATAAGAGGGGAGATGGTTTGTTCATTGGTAAATGGTTTTGCGTGGGAGTTTACAATGCTGTGTGGCCCAAGGAAGCACTGCTGTTTGGCGTTGACCTTTACAGGCAGTAGGCTGAACCCTGGCTGCAGATGGAGGGGCTTGCATTTCTGCAGATCCTGCCTGACTTCTGGAACAAGGTCACTTGATAACACAAGGCTTCTGCTCTCTCTTGCTGCCTTTCATGTTGGGAGTTACTCATCGACAGAGTCAAATAGGATAGTAAAATACTCCTTTTTGGTTAGGATCTGAATCTTAGTGTAGTACTGGTAGTTTATCCAAAACTGACTGAAAACAGCTTGCCTGGTTTTAGAGAGATTTAGGAGAAACGCTTTTTGTTTTTGTAGTTGGACTGTTTAAGGCTTACAGCAGAAATGCATGATGTCTAGTTTGCAAAAAATTACTTTGGCTTCTTGTATGAATTATTGTTCTTAATCCCAGAACTCTTAAGCTTTTTAGTTTGATACTGCAAGTGCCTTGTTTTGGAAACTTGGCTTCTACAGTTGGGCTGCACTAATAGCCTGGTGAGGATGGATTAGTTTCCTAGGAAAGCTAGAAGAAAATGCTTACTATCACCAACTCTGAGGAAATACAGAGATACCTTAGTACCTGAGGTCAAGAGGTTGCTTGGTTTGTCATACTCTTCCTTGTGATGCTGGTGTTGGGAAGTCACTCGGTGAACCAGTTGCTTCTCGTAAGTACTTACTGATCTGCCCAGTCTCACAGTGTTAAGGGTTATGTTTTTTTTGAAACATCATTCTGAATGTAAACACTATCTAGCGTGATGCAGTGTGGCTTAGTGTGCCTGACCCAGGTTGCCTCCTGCTAGACTTCAGGTGATAGAAGTATGAGTAAGAAACTCTTTCTTGCAGAGCCACGGGCGAGCACTTGAAGCATGTGTTAACTTGATGTTGCATCCTGGGTGTTCTGAACAGTAGCCTTTACCTGGGAAGAATAGAATGAGAAAGTTGGTATGATCTATTCAAGCTGTTAATGCACAAGCAAGCTGTTGGTTTGTAGCAATTTGCTTCTGTAGGGTGATTTTCATCTAAACCGTATTTGGATTGATATTAACAGAGTAGTGCCATGATGTACTTGCAAATCAGAGTTGTAGGGATTCAATTCTAATGGATAGTAATTTAGGCTGCAAAACAGATATTTGTAAGCATATTCTGTGGTCTTTGAAGACAAAAAACTGATAATACTCTTACATGACATATGTTTGTGTATAGGCATGGATCAAAGGAAACTTGAATTGATCACTGTCTCAAAGATTTTAGTGGGAAGTATTGGTTTTACTTAATATACAGGGTTACCAAGTGCTGCTGGAGGACTGTAATTGCACAAAAGGCATTGAGCAGGTTCTTGTCATGTGGTTCAGCTCCTGCACTTGAATAAACTCCAGTGACCTCATTGGTGTGCACTCAGATTACTTGTTGGACACCATTAAGAGGCAAGAATCTAGCTGTTGTTCCATTTGATTGCAAGAGGATTTCAGCCAAATGTCTGAGGACAGGGCTGTGACTTTCCTTGTAGATGGAGAACAGAGCTGTGGCACATCAGTATCAGATGTAGTGCTCCTTAAAGGTTGCAGCAAGAATCTTAATTTCAGTTGCAGCTTATGAAGTAAATCACCGTGGACCAACTGATGGGGCTGAATCCAGCTTGTAGGCTGCTTTCCTCCACTCCTGCTGTGTCCCAAATGCAGGAAGAGAAACTGAACCACTACAGGATGCTCAGTGGTTGCTCAGAGCCAGACTCGGGCTGAAGGGAATTGAAGGTGGGGGAGTAAATATTTAGGACCTGCTGGTTTCTCTCTGTTCATGGGATGGGTTCCTTGCTAACAGCTTTTTAGTTCCTCCCACTTTACTGTTGCAGGAAAGTTACTGCTTTAAAAGGAGGTCTTGCGGCTCTGAAGCCTGGCTGGGTGATCCAGGTGATTCTGGGTAAGATGAGACATACTTAAGTTTTTTTTCATTTGGGTGGGGGGTGGGTGGAGGAGGAGGAGGCCAGAGTGGTGGATTAGACAGTTATTTGGTTTGTTCAGGAAAGTCCTTTGTGAGGAGTCCTTTATGAGACTCGTATCATACATGACATGTCAGGCTCCACCCTTGAGACATCTTGCTGTTGTATTACACAAGGATTAAACTGAGGATTCTCCTTCAGGTTTCAATTACCTGTGCTCCTTTGCTGTATCTTGAGGGTGGCTGTGGTTTCCTTGCTGGTAATGTTTTTGGCTCTGTCACAGGTGGTTGCAAGACCTCAGTCAAGTTTACTGCCTTGACTACAGGGCAGGGGGAGAAAATCTTGGGAGGACTTGCATGCAGCGTTTGGAATTGCATGCTTAAGGTGTAGTATTACAACAGTCCATCCCTTTCTGCAGCTGTGCTGTCTTGTTTCCTTCTGGGAGCTAATGGTCATCCAGACAAGAGTTAGGTGTAGCTGAGAACTAGCATCAGAACTAACCTGGGAAGAATGGTATTTGCGAGCTCCCCTCTAATGTGACTGCACAACCAACCAGATGAGTGCCTGGCCAGTGCAAAGAGGGTTGTGGGAGCACATATCTGGGACAGGTTGGACTGACTCAAATTTAAGATGATTGTAAGTGCACTGTGAGATTAGGATTATGTATTTTCTTCAGACAAAGGGATTTCTCTTGTTAATAGCCAAAGCTATTTGTTGCACCCTCTTTTATACTCAATAAAGAAGCTAGAACCTGATTCTGCGCTTGCTCTTTCAAAGGATGAGTGGAGAAGGACTTAAGTTAAACAGAGATCCGTGGGAGCGGTGCAGCGTATTCTGTAATGGTAAGAAAACAACGAGCTGCAATAGCAAAGAACTGTCAGGATAACCCAAAGGTGTTTGGGTGGCTGATCTCCTACACCAGCTCATCAGAGTGAAAGCATCTTACTGCCATATTGCTCATAATAAGAGATAGGCAACTTGTCTTGTAGCTTGCTTGTGCTTGTAAGAGGCTGTAGAAATAACACAGCCACTTTTATACCGTGTGGTGGACCTGCCTTTACGGCAGGTCACTGCAGTGCTGGTGTGCTGCTCATCTAAATGTTAGGATGGAGAGGAAGAGAGGCCATTGGGTGTTGAGGTTGTTTTCTTTGCAATATGAAGCTGACGGCTGCTCTCCTGTTCTCTTCTGTTGCACTCGAACGATGTCTGGCTATGGATAGACAATAGGCAGACTGCTGCCTGCTGTAAATAGCCCATTGTATGCTGAGAGTAGGAGCAGCAAAGAACGGCAGAGTCCTGCCAACTTGGGTCATTGCCTTGAGATACTGGCTCTGCTGTAAAGAATGAGTCTTGGGTGCTGCAGGGTGTGTGTGTGTGTGTGTGAGCAGAGAGAGCTGGCTTTGTCTGAGCATACAGAAATCCTTAACTGAATTGATATGATGAGTTCAGAGGGGTGCTTTCATAGGCTGGATTTGGGAACTGCTGTTTCTGTGGAGGTGGCTA